AGTCTTTAAGACTACCTTTAATTTATCTAATTTGCCTCCAACTGCTCTGCAAAACTCCATTTACTCAGGACATACTTTCAGGTAACTGTAAAGATAATCTAATTATAGGAAATGTTATAAGTTGTATTTTTTAGATTCAAGAATGAATTGGTAACAAGTTAGATCCTTTACAATATGGATGGAAGAAAGATCAAAAAGGCAATCTGACACCTATTCAATCAACAGAAGATGTGGCACCTCCTAACCTACTATAATTCATTTTTTGCAATTGCAAAGAGAGTCGGTGCTCTAAAAATTGCTCTTGTAGAAAACTGGGTCTTAAATGTTCTTCAAAGTATGGTCAGTGCTACGGAATCAGTTGCACAAACTTTTGTATTTTAGTTGAGGACGAAAATGACGCTCAGGATAACGTCATAGCAGATTTAATTTAATAGCTTTAATTTAATAATAATTTTTTTTAACAATAACTATATTTAATAAATAATATTTAAATGTTATTTTTAATTATATTAATGCTTAAATTTATACTTGGTTTATCTATATTAACACTATACTGTTAACGCAAAAATTATAGCTGATTGGTATAAAAAAAACTGGAAAATTTATAAAACGTATAGTAAAAAATTGCTCTATCTCTATTACTATTTATTTTAGAAAAAATATTATTAAAGGTAAAATATTCTAAATTTAATTCTCTACAAAAAACATATCTTTAGTTTTTTCGAAAAAAGTTATGCAAACGAAGATATTTGAAAAAAAAAACGAAAAAATCCAAGATGGCGGCGGTTTTTTTCAAACTTCCCCCACTGGGACAGAATGGGACTTTTGAGGGGTTAAATAGGAGATCATTATCTACATATTCCCGTTGAAATCGGTTGGTTACTAATTTTTTCCACCTTTACATATAACACTCGGCTACGTTTACTGGCCTATTAGGCATATTTATGAAATATAGGATATATTTCCTTCGGCTACACACCCGCTTTACCTAACCCCTGAGAGCGAACCGAACAGTACAGCGTAATAGATTCAGATTATGACAAAAACTCAGAAAGCTACTGTAAATACCTAAAACGAATGGCTTATTGTGTATTTTACTGTGTCCACCCTGTTAAGAATAGGATCCACACCGAGTTCTCTACTAAAGAAACAAAAAACATATTCTGAAATATTTTGATTTCGGTGGAATTTGGGAATACCCCAGGGTTTTCACCCTAATGTGTGGTGGTATAACTATGGGTTTGAAATTCCTCATATATGCACTGCCTGAGATAAGTTAAAAAATTGGGGAACAAAAAAGGGATTCTCGGAAAACTGGTGATAAGAGCGTAAAATATAAGTACATAAAAATGTGAATTTTTAGCAACCAGTCAACAACATGGCATTTAAATTTTAATGATCGGGAATATTAAAAAATAGAACTTGCGTATTTTCAGTTATTCTCGTCAAAAATGTGATCCATTAAATCCTTTAAAAAAAATTATTTAGCTTCATTTCATTATTAAGTATTTTCATTAATTTGCAGTTCCTATACATGAGCGTCAATTACTTGGAAATTCTGAATGAGTAATCTCGATCTGATTATACCGATTATAAGTACCACTCTGTACAAGATAAATATTATTTCTGTTGGTGGGTAATTCTGTGCCAAGTGTTAAGTTTTTGATCTATTTTTTAGTCCTATAACCAAAAGGCATTAAAATCTATGAATATGAATTTCTTCGATTTATTGGCACTTCATTGTCGGCATTATCGTCCACCGAAAAGATTAATTCACGAGCGATGGATGGATAATCGCCAGTGAATTCATTTGGGCAGACGATAATGCAATGTTATCGTCGTGTATAAAACAATATTTTTTTTCCATATAGCGAGTTACGTCTTAGAAAATATTCAGAAATTATTATTTCAAGGAATTTATTACGAGTAGAAAAAATATTGTGCTGGGTTGGCGTTGGTTTCTATGTAATTTGACAAATAAATAAAGCTGTCTCTTTAGTTATCAGTTTTGAGCATAGACAAACAAATAAAAAGAGACTGGCAAATCTCATGGTAAAGAGTGGGACCGCGTTCCCGTAGCGCAACTCAGAATAACAATTTTGAAACCAATTAGCAGGACCATGGCAGGACGTACGTCTTTATTGCTATCTTTCTTTATTATGTGTGCTTTATATGAAAAAGAAAGAGATAGGTATAAAACGTATCCTAAGACATTATCGCACATTCTGGCTGGCGGAAAATTTAAATTAGCCATTATTATATAGTAGTATTCTTTCATTCTGAAACTGAAAATTTTCACTTAAACTGATTTATTTCCCTTTACGTGGTTTGGTTTGGTTGCAAAATTTGCAGTTTCTTTCAGAACGAAAGAATACTACTATTATAAGGGAAATTATAAAAAGTAAAAATTGTACTGTTTTACAAACATATTTATTTATACATAAAAATAAATAAACTTTTTATAATATAATAACAAAAAATTACAGCGTTTTTTCCACCCATCTACCAATTTTAAATGCAGAAGAACTGACTGTTGTAGGAAACGATCGGCCAATTTTTTTAAAGGGCATTAAAAATCTCATTTCTCAAGAAGACTTTACGAGAATCATGATCCTGAACCATTTTCAAGTCCAGTTTTAATCCTAAAACAAAAGTAAAATAGGTATATTAATAAAGTTTCTGGTTACTATAAACCAGCTATAAACTATCTAGCCAAAAAATGAAAAAAATTAATTGTATTAATTTGTTATGTTAAGAGAGGTTCGAAATATTATTGACACTACTTCTACTTTTTTCTTAATAAGATGATAAATATAACTACTTACGTTTATTTTACCGGGTGTCTTTAGCATATCTATCAGAGAAAGGGGGCACCAATACATATAGAAAATAGATGATACTGGCTCCTGCAGCAAATAAAATAACAAATAGTATAATCTAAAATTATAAGTAACAAAATATAAATACCTATATGGAACAAAGGAATTTGTTCCCTATCCATACTCATAAGTCAATAAAATGGAGAGTTTAGAAAAAAAGGTAAATCACCAAAAGAAAAATTAACAAACATGACGAATTGTCATGATGTTGTCATCTTGGTTGTCATGATGACGAAAACGAACGGCGATTGTTCTAATTTCTATTTAGAAATTACGTTTTATATGGCTGCTTCTTTCTCTCGTGTTATGTTAGAATGAGGTAGTGGGCCCAATAGAGGCAATGCGCAGATCAACATAAATAGAACGAAATTTTGCTTTCTGAGTTGCTCTACGAGAACGTTATTCCTCTCTTTGCCAGTCTCTTTTTATTTGTTTGTCTATGGTTTTGAGTCAATATTTTTAATTCTCTCTCGTGTCGATTGTTGATTGAATTGGAGCCAGAAATGGCTCAAAATGAAATAAGTAAATTACCAACAGATATTCAGGCTGAGGCGACAAACGCCATATCCAAAATATTTCCATTTAAATCCGGAATATCTTGATGAAATGAAAAGGAATACAAAAATTTTCAAAAATGAAAGCAATTAAAAAACATGCGAGAAGAAATAAAGTTTTTAACCTATCCTCGCTGTTAAAGTATCATTTAATCTACCCTTGCGGTTAAAGTACTATTTTATCTACTATTTTTGATAGATATAAGGCAATTTTAACAGTTGCTATGGAAAAAAAGTACTTAATGTATCTTTGTAAAGATTTTATTGATAGAAAAACTCCTTTAATTAGGATAGTAGGTAGTAGTAATTGAATTTGTATAGTACGCCCCTTGAAAGCAAATAGTACAATGACGTAAAAAATTACAATTAGAATGGAATCACCCAGGTACCTATATTGTTAAGGCAGACATGTATGTTGCTTAAAAAGATTAATAAATTAGTTTATATATGAAAAATCGTATTGTTAGATATATCTTATCGAAAACACAAACGTTTTCAAAATTTCCAAAGGTGTCATAATCCTAATGATTGTTTGCCTATGCGCCCTAACGAATTTGCACTAACAAATTTGGAAAATACGTAAAAGTTAAAAAGTACCATATGCACATGCTTATCAGTTAATCAATTATTGTAGGTGTCGAGTTTTGTACCGGTTTTAACATTCTTATTTAATTCTAACTAATTTTTTCATTAACGAGTATATTATGTATTTACTTGAACTTAATTAGCAAACATAATAAATAAATAATATATCACGATTATTATCAGCAGATATAAAACGCTGGTGATGATGTCAACTGATGTCAACGTTGTTAACGTAACGTACAGTGTGCTACGTAGGCGATCATAAGCCTATAACATTAACTGAATCAATTTTGTTGTAAAATTAAAGGATAAATAAAGATTAGGGGAAATGTGCCCCTGATGGACCCCTTAAGGAAATTCCATTATAACTTTTTAGTTTTTGTAGTTATTAGATTTATTTTTTTGAAAATCGATTATTTATTTCCAAATTTAATATATATGAGGTGAATTTGCTACTAAATAATTTCGTATTAAATAAAATAATCATAATAATAAAACATAGTCGAGGGTCTATCATTGGCACCTATGAACCTATGTCGGTCCCCTATAAAAACAACAGATAACGCCTTTCAGAAGTTTTATTTTAAACAAAATATTTTTCTATAATAAAAATGGAATAAACTAACTTAAAGCAGACAAAAAAAAATAGTTTAAAAGTTAAGAAAAAAACAAAATTAGCATTAGTTTAACAAACGCAAGACAAATAATTATGATTAGGAGCATAATTCGCAAATAAACGTTTTACATCGGTAGCTTGCACATAAATTGTGGCACCAGGACTGACAAAGCTGGCATTTAATCCACTTCTCTCTTGCACGTGATTGAGAGAATAACTCATTGCAATATAGACAACTAGCATCGGATTCGTGCTTTTCGCGTCCTAAAAATTCTTCTAAGATGGTTTCATCTTCATCAGAGCTGTCGTCATTATTTGCAATGACAAGTTTTCGTTTTACTGCCCTGCCCTGTTGTTTTCTTAACTTTATTTCTTCTCAATTACTTTATCTTTAAGTTCAGAAATTTCTGGAGTTGAATTTAAATGGCCAGTTTTTCCACGCCTTCTCTTGCTTCCTTTATCAGCACCAATGGCTATTGCTTGTGGTGGGGGCAAAATTTCTTTTACCGAGATGTGGAGAACTGATGATGAAGACAAGTTATGACCAGATGTACTTGGTTGGTCTTGAATGTCTAATTCCATTTGGTTTTCGTTGATATCGCCTCGAGTTTCGGAAATCTGCTTATCTGTTGCTAGAGCTGGTGCAAACTGCCAGTCCTCAAAAACATGGGGGTTAAAAGGATGGATGCCCGTCTTCTTGAACGAATTTACGCATTTGATGGGACTGCACTTTTTAAATGGGCTTGGTTTAGAAGACCTGCTATTTTGAATTGGGTTACTGCTTTTCCCGGGTTTTGACGCAGCCATAACTGGATTTCTTGATCAAAGTAGGTATGAAGTGGACGAAAAAATCCAACATCCAAAGGTTGAACGTGATGAGAACAGTGTGCAGGAAAACAAAACACAATAACACCATTTTCTTTTGCAATTTGTAGAGATTCAAGACTTTTATGACTACTGTGACCATCAAGAAGTAAAAGAGTTTTATTCTCATTAGACGCTTTCGTATATCTTACGAAATGCTTTAGCCATTTACAAAAAATTTCACTGGTCATCCAACCTTTTTCTTGCGTAAAAGCTATGCTACCAGCGGGAGCACCGTTCATTAGTTCCTCATTCATCCTTTGACGAGGATAATTAAGAGCAGGAGGGACGTAAGTTCCTATGGCATTCATTGCGCATACTACAGTTACATGCTGTCCACGCTCGGCACTACTAAGAGCACCCACTTGCTTCCGACCTTTTGCAGCGTAAATTTTTTGTCATTTTTTTTTGCACCGTAGTCAAACCTGATTCATCCATATTGTATATATTTTCGGGCAAAAAGTTGTACTGCTCCAGAATATTGGATAGTGCGTTAAAATAGGCTTCTATATTAGGTTTGTTAAATGCCTGGGCTCTAGCTAATGACGTACTTTCTGGGCTTCTCAAAGATATTTGTGGATTGCGTTTTAGGAATCCCCTAACCCACTTCCAACCTGCCAGTTTAACTTCCCGATTGAAACAATGTTTTATTTTATTTTTTTCGGCTACTTCAAATACCATCCGCCGTAAATCTTTGGAAGTTAGTCCAAAAAATCTTATCTCCATTTCGATTATATGACCTGCAATCTCGTTTTCTATGGCTTTGGAGAAAGTGGCCTTTCTCCCTCCTAAATAACCCTTGGAGCTGTCTTGTTTCTCTAAGCGTCTTCGCAATGTTGTCTTGGGAACATAAAGGTCTTTGCAGCTAATTTATAGCCCATATTTTGGCTTTATACGTTAATAATAGCCCGTCGCATGTCCTCCTCATTCCACTGTTGCCGTTTGTTAGATGCCATGTCTATAAAGAAAAAAAAATAACTTAAAAATATAAAAAATGCATTGCTTATGATGGCCCTATGATTTTCCTATGATGGACCCTTGGTTCATCATAGGAAACAGCTAAGGGGTCCATCATAGGCCATTTTGAATACGCCATTTAAAAATCCCAAGCTTTTAAAATATTGGACATAACCCTAATTTGTGCCCGGCACTTATTACACAACAGTTCTTTTAACCTACCGCAACAACAGCAGATTCTAGCTGTGCGTAAAAATACTTGACATCATATCATGCTACTTTGTTACATCAATACTTACCAGTAATAAGTTTATTTTTTAATTTCACAAAAACAGCTTGTATTTGCATAAGCACATGTAAACAACTAATTTTAAACTTTAACCAGTCTACCCTAGGTGGCCACAGTTCGTTATCCGCGGTAAATTTGAAAATATAGCTAGTGGTTCATCATAGGCGGGGGTCCATCACGGGCACATTTCCCCTAATTGATGAAACGTTTGTTGAAGGGGCTTAATAAGACGGGAATTTTGATGATTTTGAAAACCAAAAATATTGACTAGGCAACAATTACTAAACAACAATCTCTCACGACGGCAACAAAGTCTACATATATGTAATATACAGGGTGAGTTTCCTACGATGTTCTCTATGGGTATCTCGGAAACTACTGGAGATAGAGAGTCGGTTAAATGGGGAAAGAATTGCAGTTTTGTGGGGTCACAAATATGCGCCTTTCAGATTTTTAAAAAAGTTCATGGCTTACTAGATATTTCGAAAAAAAAAATTTCGGCTAATTTAAAAATTGTCTCTAATTCCATTATAAGCTATTTTAGACAAAAAGTTTTCAGATAAAAGTTGTAGATAATCACATTCTTAATGAGATTGTGTCCTTCGTTTTTTTCTAAAGCCTGTCATTTTTGACATATGACACAAACATATGTTTTTTTTAAATGGAAACCATAGTGGGCCATGACTTCATAAAAAGCGCCATTTTTTAAGCTTTTTAGGGATATAAGCTATAATATGTTTTTTTCAACAAATTATTGAGTTATAGCCAATTCTTATCATTTTTAAACAATTTCACTTAGTTAGCCATGGAAACAAGTTCAATCGCCGTTACTCTCAGGATTGTGAAGTCACATTCAAACTTTGTAAATTAAAATACACAAAAATTGTAAATATGAATTTTTCAAATGAAGAAAAGCGTGTAGATACTCGCGCATCAATAGAGTGGTTCCAACATGACTTTCATTATGACTCCCCCCATAATGAAAGAAATGAAAGAAATGTTCAACGTTATTTATATCATAATTATGCAAACTCAAGGATAGGAAGAGGTGGACCAATTGCATGGGCCTCCTCCGATCACCTGACCTCCATTTTAGATTTTTTTTATACGGTATGGTTAACAATAAAGTTTACAAAAAAACTTAATTAATTAAGAGAGGCACTTGAAGTGGCGGTACGAGAAAAGTTTAATTAAGTCGACCGAGCCTTTTGTGAGAATAGGAATTCATTTGACAATAGGAAAATTCAGTTTTAAAAAGATGCAACTCAAAACAATGTCGGATTTTTTGAACATTTTCTAAAATAACTTAAAATGTATGTAGTGATATTATTTTTTTAAGTTTTAGTTTGTGTAATGTAAATTGTAAAGAACCGTTTAATAATGTATTCTTTTTAGAGTTTTTATAAGTTATAAATCATAACAGAATAAGAATACCATGCAATCTAAGTGAAATTAGTCAAGAAAGATAAGAATTGGCTATAACTAAATTTAACTTTTCTAACATGTCTTGGTTTTCAAGTTCTCTAAAAAACGTAACATTCACCTGTCAACGTATCCTCGAAAATGTATGGTCAAGAAAAGTTGAACCAATAATCCGACACGCTTTTCTGCATTTGAAAAACTCATATTTACAATTTTTGTTTATTTTAATTTACAAAGTTTGGATGTGACAGCTTTACATTTCTGAGAGCAAAGACGATTAAACTTGTTTCCATGTCTAATTAAGTGAAATTGTTTAAAAATTATAAGAATTGGCTATAAGTCAGTAATTTTTCGAAGAAAACATATTATAGCTTATATCGCTGAAAAGCTTAAAAAATTACGCTTTTTATGAAGTCATGGCCCACTATGGTTTCCATTTAAAAAAACATATGTTTGTGTCATATGTCAAAAATGACAGGTTTTAGAAAAAAACGGAGGACACAATCTCATTAAGGATGTGATTATCTACAACTTTTATCTGAAAACTTTTTGTCTAAAATAGCTTATAATGGAATTAGGGACAATTTTTAAAATAGCCGAAATTTCTTTTTTTCGGAATATCTAGTAAGCCATGAACTATTTCAAAAATCTGAAAGGCGCATATATATGACCCCAAAAAACTGCAATTCTTTCCCCATTTAACCGACTCTGTATCTCCAGTAGTTTCCGAGATACTCATAGAGAACATCGTAGGACACTCACCCTGTATAGACTTTGATAGCAATATAGATAAATATAAAATATAAAGCTGCGTCCGTAATATAAGTATGGTCGACACTGTCGATCGACCCTGTCTATCGACGCTGTCGACTTGGTGTGTACGTGGCAATCGACGGTGTCGATCGACAGAATTAATCGATCGACATGTCGATTTGTTTTCCATCGTCCGTCGGTAAACATCAAAGAACAGTCGATCGACATTAGTGAGTGGACCTGTTTTCGACGTTCGACATTCGACAAACTGTTTTACACAGTGACGTCTTGGCTAGTTGACATCGTAGTCGTGCTTTTTCGTTGAAGAAATGGAATGGGAGCAATATAAAGTCATAGCCTTTATTGAGGCATACAAAGTGAAAAAGAATCTATGGAATTCTAAAACCAAAAACTATAAGAAGAGAAACTTGAGGCACGATGCCCTTATGGAAATTGTTAATCAATTTAACATCGATAAGCAAGCGGTAGAACAAAAAATAAAAAATCTTCAGAGTCAATTTGTAAGAGAAGTGAAAAAAATAAAGGAGAGCAAGAAATCTGCTACAGGTACGGAAGATGTGTATGCAAGTAAATGTTTTTTAGTGGCGATAATAATATATGCGGCACAAGCAACTATTGCGTCATCTTCGTCAGACATGTTGATTTCGACTGATCGACAAAGATTTCTGTCAATCTGGTGTGGACAGATGCAGTTTTGTCGACTTGTTGATCAACAATGTCGATAGACATGGTCGATCGACAGTGTCGACTCAGTGAGGACGCAGCTTTAAATTTCACCCGCAACTTTCGACTTTGGCTACGCCACGTAATATACAGTATGTCTCAGAATCGAGAGGTGTCTCACTATTGGAATTACATGTACATTTTCTTGGCAGTCACTGGAAGTCGTTAGCATCAAATCGTCTTACAGCTGACGATTATAATTAAATGTTGAACACATATACATTAGCAATGCTCATGTAATGAGCATACGAGGTTTTGGACCTTAAGCTGAACATCGATAAAACTAAAATCATGTGCACTCCCCCGGAAGATCACAATGCTATAAAAATCGGAGAAGAACTATTGGAATATGTAGCGGAATTCAATTACCTCGGCAATTTGATTTCGGAAAAGGCTAATATTGACACTGAAATTCAGCACAGGATTACCAGCGCCTCAAGAGCATATCGGAAATTAAAAGACAGGGTTTTCTGCAGCCATAACTTGAGCACAAAAACGAAGCTTGTGTACCGAGCAATAATAATAATCCCCACCATGTTATACGGAAGCGAAACCTGGGTGCCACGACACATGAACGCATTAAACAAGTTGCAACCGAAACACCTTAGACAAGTCTTAAGAATCTAATGTTCCACCATGTCTCAAACCTATCGGCTCTTGAAAAAGCTAGCTGCGAGAGCGTTGAAGTCATGATTACGAAATTCCATTAAAGATGGGTTGGTCACGTATGCAGAATGCAAGGAAACCGCCTACTAAAATCTATCCTTTACAATGAGCTTGTAGACTGTAAGAGGAAGTCGGGTGGATAACTCAAAAAGTACAAGTATATTTTCCACAAAAACTTAAAGGGGATAAACATGCAGAATGAGTGGGATGAAGCAGCGCACAATAGAACGCAATGGAGAATAATTTTAAATTCAGTTAGTGACAACCAAAAAGTAAAGAGGCAACAAAGCAAAGAGATTTTTGAATGTCCGGAGTGCGGAAGAGAGATAACATCACGTATGGGACTTTTCAGTCACAGAAAAGCTCATGCAAGAAAACGACTTGTGTTCTTCTGATGCGTGTCAAATACTCTTCAGCGAGTAAGGGCAGTAGTATGTATGTATAATTATATGGCAGACAATGCAGACAGGTAGTCTTCTTCCCAGTCATTGTCAGTCGATCGGTATTAAAATGATGCTACACGTCTCTTGTGCAACTTTTTCATTAGTGTATAATCTGCATTTCACAACACTCATTAAAATACTGTATGATAAAAAAAGCCTTCCCCCTATAATTTTACATACAAAATGACAGCGATCTTTCTTTACATTTTTCTTTCTATCAAGCAATCTGACGCCGTTTTTTTTCGATCGTATTGTATTATTACTTACAACCACCGGTATAAAATAGTATAGGTATAAATCATAAATGCACAGAGTCTACCCGCGCGGTGAATATATTTTACACACGGTATGCAAAACGCTCAGATGATCCAAAGAACGTCGTCCAGTTGGCTTGGAAATGACGATCAATGACATTCCCCATATAATCATATTATATATAGATATACTTGAAGGAAGGGTTTTTTTTTATTTTATTTTATTTTATTTTTATTACTTATTTATATAAAATATTACTATATGCTACTTAATGAAAGAAGAGTGTGTCACGTTTTGTACACTTGTTTTACACTTATACTTACTATGACAAGGATATAACGAACTCGAGGGTCTATTATTAGAAGATCGTTATCGTGATATATAAATCATTTAGGTAGCTTTTTATTTAAAAAAACTACTTGTCTTC